CGAGACTCGACCCCAGGCCCCGGCTGCAGAAAGTCTCGGCGGTCCAAAAATGTTGAGTGGAGCTGATCTAAAACTTACGGAAAAAAAGAAAACCAAGAAAAAGAAGGCAGGGCAGGGCAGTGTCCCAGAAGAAGCCACGCTGCTGGAGAAATCTCCCCGGGAGAAAAGGGCCTTTCCTACCCCAGAGGCCAAAGAAACGTGGATGAGAACGATCAAGGAGGAGCCGATCCCAAGTGCTCAGGAACCCGAGCGTGAAACTCCCGCCGAAGAATTAGCTGGCGGGTTGCTTGGGGATCTGGCTGAGCAAAGGCAAACTGAGATCAGTGAGGAGCAGATGGCTGAAAAAGAAGATAAGCTGATTGCCTTGGGAGCTAAAGACCACGTTGTGGAGGACGAGCAAATGACCATTACCCCAGAAAGCGTCACGCCCCAGGAGACGAGCGGAGAGATCAGAAATGGTCAGGGTTTCTTTGCGGCAGTTCAGCCACAGGAAAGGATGTCCCAAGAAGCGATCGGGCAGGAAGTCAAAGATGAGTTCTCGCCGACAACCTTGTTAGCAGAGAAAAAGCCACCTGCCTTGCGGACCGGAGGGGATCAAGAGTCCTGCGTGGCCCTTGAACTAGAGGAACAGGCATTGCACGAAATGACCCGAGAGTTCACCAGCGGGGAAGAAGCCTCCTCCGCAGCCCTTCAGCCAGAAAGAAAAGAGCTCCATGAGAGAACCGGAGAGGACAGCCACGCAGATCAGCAGCTGTGCGTGACTACGACAGATGGGGAGAGACTGCAAGAAACTTCAGAGGAATCCACAAAACCAGCCAAGGTAACTGTGGTTTTCTTTAAAAAAAAAAAAAAAAAAAAAAAAAAAAGATTTATTGCATGTTTTCTTTTTTGATACCAATGAGGAATATTTTGGGCAACTGCAGTTGACAGCAGGAAGCATCTACAGAGTCTAGGGATCCTATTAGGACACACAGTGCTAGACGAACGCTATCAGTTGAAATGGATTTGGCAAATGAAACTGTGATGTATGGAGGAAAACATCTGAAACGCAGGTTTTTTTTCTTTTTTACCAGAATGTTGTTTATAAATGACTAATCCGTAGGCCTGTTGTTTAGCAGTTTGGCTATAACATTGCAGATTTGTTGCCATTTTTAAACTTACGTTGGAAGACGAGCACACATTTCATTTCTTCCCAGTAAATCTTGTAGATAAGAGATTGAGCAGTCCCTAAAGTAATAGGTCACCAGGAGAGAAAAGTCTGAGAGCTCTTTCCAATGCACAATTCTGGTTTGCCTCTTTGGAAACCTGAAATCTGTTTTCTCTCCTGACTCCGCAGGCTGTGGTCAGCAAAAAGCAGTGTCTGGAGCACGATGAGAAGCTCGTCTCCTATCTCTCTATGCTCCGAGGTATCGAGATGAGAATTAAGCATGTTCAGCCCGCTGGACAGACTTTGGCAGCATTGCAAGACCTGCTGCGTCAGGCCGAGGTGAGAGAAAGCCACTGTCCCGGCCTTGCTCTGATTTACACATCCTTCCTTCCTCCGGGGTAGTTTTTTCAGGGTCGCATATTGGGATGGTAGATCCCATTGCAGGTTTTTATTGTCACTCTGGGGAATTTGGTCCTGAAAGATCTTCCAATGCAAACACAGAGTGCATGTCTCTTCTTGTCTGCCTCAGGTCTTCATCCATGCTTGAACAATAGCCTAAGTGTGCCTGTTATTGCCTGGAAAAAGGTTATCATGATCTGGCTAGCCAAGAGCAGCTGGATGAACTGGTTGATTGTAATGAATCTTTCTAGCTGATGCACACATTGTTTAGGTCCAGCTCTCCCGGCCTTCGTCTTACTGTCAGTTTTGGCCGCAAGGGGATGAAGTCACTGTATCTCGGATTTAATGATGCCGTCTTGCCTCAGGTCCTGGACGCAGAGCTGAAGGAGCTGTGCTCTCCAGTGAATCGGGAGTTGGACTCGGTGAAGTGGATCGTGGCCAATCCACCCCAAGAGGTCCCTGAACAATTACTGAAAGCTTTGGAGAAAGACGCCAAGAACCTGCAGAAGTCTTTGAGCTCAGTGAGCGATGTCCTGGACTCCTGGGTGCTAAATCTCCGCAGCACAGCGGAAGCTGA